CCCCCCCCCCCCGCCCCCTCAGCATTAAATTCGCCGTTACCTGTTTCTACACCAGGGTGGAGAGAGACAATGTGAGAGTAAAGTGTCTTGCCCAAGAACACAACGCAATAACTCCAGCCAGTGATCGAATCACGAACCATTAGGCGACCTTATCCTCACCATGGCAACCATGCACTAGTGAACTTTAAGTATCCATGTCTGCGCCTGTAATATGACATCAACCCGAAGCCTATATCTAACGACAAAAATTGCGCGTGGCAAGTTCTAAATAAAGGGAAAACATGCCAAAAAACGCCCTTTCTCTCTGCCGCAGACATATCTTTGCTTCATAAAAATTCCTTGGGAATTTCAAGATTTCACGTAATAATTTAAATTAATCATGAAAATTCGGGATTAACGCGCACGGTCAGTAGCAAAAAAACCCCTTTCTTATAACTGTATACACGTACACTGGAGGAGATGTCCTGATGAATCCAACATTTGTTAGGTCTTCCATTAAAATGTTTCGTTTGAATTTGCCGTTGTTCTTTGAGAAAAGTAAAAAAGTAAAAACAAAGTAACATTAAAGTTAAAGATTCACTGTCCGACAAACAATACATTTTGACAAAATGTTTGAGAAAAAAACAATACTTTCGCCCAAATGTTGTCCATAAAATTAATTCAAATAATCTTGTTTCTTAGGGAAAAGTGATTTACCACCAGACCATGACCCCATCTTGGATTGAGGCGCATGCGTCCTACATCGACGGATCTCGTGGATACACCACTGAACAGATCACATTTCACGCGGGCGCAGTAACGCGGGCCGCCCTCTTTAAAGTTCCCATGATTCCTGTAAATGAATTGCAAAATTCCTCGGCGTTAACCGTTAAATTTGTGGTTTCCACTAATGTCACTATCGGATCAACTGATTCCGACAGTGATTTGATATATGGCGTGTCTGATGGCATAAGCTTTGTAGGCTTTGAAACTCTCGATAAAAACAATTACAAGGGCAATTTCCCTCCCTGTTATGGATTGGAGGGCGTCTCTTTAGGTTCGCGTTTGAAAGACTATAAGCCGGTCAGCTCTTTGTTACCCAAACCAAGCGACTCTTTCTATCCCGGTCAGGTTATTGGCACTCTCAGCTTAAATGAACGCTGGGGCTCATGCTACACTGCGCATGACGGAGGCTTCGCGAAGACCGCTGTGTACAGCAAACGACTGAACCTCAGCAAAGGTCTCACTTTTGAGGTTTATAAAGATAACAAAGGCGAGAGGACTGGGATCAAGTTCATTGAAGTCACCATCATACAAGATTCCCAGCCTTAAAAATCGGCTTGTCAGTAAAGTGACCATGGACGCAACCATCAGAGACAAAGCAAGTATAGCGGAATTATAGAACTGTGTTAAAATTATTAAAAGTACCTTCACTTGTACACGAAATGTGCTAAGAACACCAGCGTGACAATGTTAGCAAGATAAAATTATAATAGTATGTAACTAGCAAGAGCAGAAGCCTGCCTGACTTTTTCAGTTTAAGACCGATCAAAGGTTTTTGCATGCATAACCCATTAGTATAAAGCTGAAGTACATTAGTACAGCAACAATAACATCTTTATTTAATTTTATATTTTACTACATTTTGAAAGATTTTTAGTTTATTTTATGCATATAGAATGTTTTAGATGAGGTAACTGTTATAATCTTGTTTGAATGAGACTGGAGGCTAAATAAACCGTTATGTTTTCGAGTTAGCCTCCAGCCTAGTCATGTCTAATTGTAGGACAGGAGAGATGAAGGAAGAATTTATAGTGTACAGTTTAGTTTAATTTAAGGAAGAACAAAAAAAGTAACAGAAAAGTAATTGACTGTATCGGTCTCACAGTAAACAATGTTTAATTTTTTTGAAAATGCAAATACGCTAAGTTCTTTCAAATGGGTTGGAAGTTCTTTCCAAAGATCTATTGATATTTAACAAACGTAGGTTTCCGTTTATGGAGATAGTTATTTTGGCTTTTCGAACTGCTAAGCTCATGACGGTGCCCGGCCTTTGCCTGTTAGTTTAGATATAACAAATGAGCCTGGGAGAATTCCATGCTAAACTGGTATTGGTGTTGGGAAAAACTTAAACGCTCGTGACTGAATTTTCTCCTTTACATTCTTCAATTCATAAGCAGCCTTTCTGGAGTCTTTTGCTCCTCCTCTGAAAACGCATTGCAGAAACTGAAAGATGCGACAGTTAAGATTTTCATGCAAGTTGGCATGTGCAAGATGCGTCATTATAAGAGATAGGAATAACATGGTATACGCTTTGACAGTTCCTCGACATCTCCAGCATAGGGTTCTATGCCGTTACTGCTCTAAAATAAAAGGTCCACTGGGGACTCAGGTGTTATATTTTCTGCCCTGAGTAATTCGACTTGATAACGCTTCCCCATTTTTATTCAATCCACGTAACCGAGCCTACTTATCATTATGGCGAACCTGCGTTTTTTTACAGTTTATACGTTTATATGCTCTCACATAATTTCCACAAGTATTTGAGGAAATTTGAAGTACTATTTGTGCCAGATGGTGCCTTTTCAGACGGTCAACTAGCTGGGAACACGTAAAACTATGGAGACGAAACAAAGATGTGGGAGGAAAACCTGCAAGGCAGCAATAGACACAAACAGAATAAGAGGAAAGATCATTAAACACAAAATAATAATAAAAAACGCAAGGCTTTCTCCGGTGTAACAGTTTCCAGTCTCAATCGTGGGAAAGATTGTTCTTCCCCCAGGCCAGTTGGATGATTTAGCGCCTAGTTAGACAGGCAGTCAATTCAGTCAATCAGTCAGTCAGTCAGTCAGTCAGTCAGTCAGTCAGTCAGTCAGTCAGTCAGCCAGCCAGCCAGAGAGCCAGCCCGTCAGTCATTAAGTCAGTCAGTCAGTCAGTCAGTCAGTCAGTCAGTCAGTCAGTCAGTCATTAGTTACTTAGTTACTCCTAGTTAGTAGCAAAAATAGTAGAAGTGTATGGTATGCTAATTTAAACTGTGAGTGATAGTGTATACGCTGCATGTTATATATAGGCTTGGGTAAACTTCAAGCACAATTCATTGTACTTTCGCTAGCGATAATTTTGCCGGCGAAAAGTCCCATTTTTGAGCAGACATATTGAAACAAATTAGCGACACGAAACATGACATAGAAAGTAGAACTTTAATTAGTCCCCGATTATGGCTCCTGCTTTAATGTAAATCATCCGCTCCAGTTTCACCCACCTTCGTCTTACGTCCATTATATATCATATATTTGTGATGTTGAGCATCGTCCAATGGTAAATTATTTATAAAGAATCAATTGATTCGTCCCTTATGCTAAAAAGAAACCTCAAAACGTCAACCAAAGGCTTTGCTCCGTAATTTGAACGCGATTGTTGTTTTTTTGCGTGAGTAAATAATGTCCATATTTGTACTTCTTATACTTCACGGTTATCGCCTTTGTAAGGCAAACCATCTGCTTCCAAGTAACGGTAGTTTGACTGAGCGGAATCCAGGCAAGTCAGAGACAAAACAGGACTGCCATATAACTATGATTACCGATAGAACTGAACCACGCCAAGATCTCTTCTTCTTTTTCATTTGGTCTGTTCCAAATTAATCATATCCATAACAAAATTCGAAGAAACAAGGCCTTTTAAACTGCTCAGGCAGTCGATAATTCTTCTGTCATATCAAGGAACCCAATCAAGTACAAAGCACGGAACATTATTTTTTAAATTCGGAAAGTAATTATGAGCTGCTCCTGTTCTTATTAGCATTGGTAACTGTGTATGAATGCGATTGCAATTAAGGTGATTCACATTAAAGACGATATGTAAAAATTCTCTTAAAATTGCAGGAGCCCTTCTTTGGGCAAGTGCAACGGATTTGGAAGAATTTTCAAACGCACGAATAGTGTAAACCTTACACGTAATTATTCACGCTTTCGTACTATTTACTCAAATATATGATATCACTGGAAATTACGAACGTATTGACTTAAACTGCAGTGCAAATTCACAAATTAATGACAAATTTGCCTTCTCTCGGCCAATCAAAATGGAGTCATTTTCTTTATCACATAATAAGGTGAAAACAGACCCTGCCAAACGTCAATCACTTTCCTGATGATTATCGTAAATATGAACACAGCTGGAACTTGTATTCATGTAAATATTCAGCTCGGAATATGATATGTGAAGACACTGCCTTATCAGTTATTGTGACGCAGCAACTAGCCTTCATGTAGTGATGCTGAGTGAAGAAACAATTGCTTTAGTTTAGGCTCCACTGAATACATTCTGAATGGTGCTAGCAAATATTACCGGGGCGGCACAAGATTTGCTATTTGGCGAAGATTTGTATTGCTCGCCAGATATCACCGAAGGTATACATTCTCAGATAACAAGTATTTTGGCGATAAACGTGTTCGTGTCCATTTCAGCGACTCTAGGGAATACTCTAATTCTAGTTGCCCTTCACAGTGAGTCCTCCCTTCATCCCCCGTCCAAACTCTTGCTTCGTTGTTTGGCTACAAGCGATCTCTGTGTTGGTGTTACTTCAGAGCCTCTCGCAATTATCTACTGGATAGCTGTGTTGAACAAACGTTGGGACATTTGCCGATTGGCGGGGACCATAAATTTTATCTCCAGTTACGTCCTGTGTTCTGTGTCGTTGTTAACACTGACAGCAATAAGCGCCGATAGACTTCTTGCGCTGCTTTTGGGACTAAGATACAAACAAGTTGTAACCTTGAAGAGGATATATGTGGTTCTCAGCAGCTTTTGGGTTGTATCCACCGCCGCCGCAACGATGTCCGTGTGGAATTCCCTTATTACCTTCTCTTATGGCTACATTGGTATAGCGGTGTGTTTAACCACGTCAGTTTACTGTTACACAAAGATCTTCCTGAATCTCCGTCAGCTTCAGTCTCAGGTACAAGACCACCGTATTCATAGAGAGGTACAGAGCGTAACAAGTCCACTGAACATCTCTCGATACAAGAAAGCAGTTAACACTGCACTGTGGCTGCAGTTGACATTAGTTGCGTGTTACCTGCCGCACGGCATATCTGGTGCCTTAATGTTCACTGAAGTAAAGTTATCTCCATCGGTTTTTATCGCCGGGCAATGTACGTCCACCTTGATTTACTTCAACTCGTCGTTAAACCCGATTCTTTACTGCTGGAAAATAAAAGAAGTGAAGCAAGCAGTGAAGGACACAATTAAACGCTTCTGTTGGTTTTGCCGTTAGATTTGTCACTTAGTTAGGGTGGAGAGACGAACAACGCAGCAGTCGAGAAAACTTCTCTTTTATCTTATAATGAAGTGGCTAGCCCACCTTTGTTTTCGCAGTGGAAAAACACTCTTAAAAAAACGACTGAAACAAAAAAAAAAAAATGCCGTACGTTGGGTGGCACCAATGTGAAATCGTTTAGAATATAATTATCTACAATAATTACCTTTTTAGAGAGCTTTATAGCTTGTTGTCAAATTACATATATACATCCAAACTAGTCGTTAGGAAAAATACAAACCGTTTAATCACTTTGGCTGGCGTCTCGCTAATGCGCTAGTATTCATGGCAATAAACTCTATGCTATTTCTGCCGGCTTTAAGATAGGGAAATCATTATGTAAAACGCAAGAGAAAGCCATCAGTTAACATCTTTAGGAGGCAGAAATAAATTAAATAACCTTGTTTTCTTGCGCCAATCTCGACAGTGCCGGATAAATTCGAAGAAAATCAATGAAATGGAACAGTAGGCCTCTTCCAAATTAGGTTTGAAACTCATATTTTCTTGATATTTACATGAATTTAATGAAGTAGTTTGTATGTAGAGAAAAATCCACGCATAGCTATCAGATACTTATGATTTACTACTGCCAAATGGACAATTCTGTATCATTACGGAGTAGTGTAGGAGAAAATTGGGCACCCCGTTAGGCAATATATATAATTAAGCAGCACTTTTGGACCGATTTGTCATGACACAGCCATGAATAAAGTTCGACAACGTTTTCCCTTATGCCAATGACGCGCTGAATAATACGCTCTATTTGTGATCATAATTCGAGGGGTATTAGTGTACCCACTTTTTTATTTACCATTAAGCGATATGTTTGAAAGCAATAATGGATCGTTGAACAAAATCTTTTCAAATTTGCATATAAAATTTCCGCCTTCAACGTTATTCAATCGTTCTAGAAGATGTGTTCTTCTGGAGGCCCTAAAGGGAATTTCTTTCAAAAGACCTACACTGATAAAAACTGATAATAACACGAACTGCTGGGTATCGACAACATTATTTTTGTGATGCTTCCTAGTATGTTGACGCACATATGCCGTTGTATAATGTGAGATGCTGTCTTAATTTTAATGGAAATAGCCTTCTAATTGCTTGTCGCTCGAAGGATCTGACTTAAGACTGAATCATCACCCACACCAATTTCAAAAGGAGATAAAATACCCATT